CCCTGCTCCATCACTGGGACCCCAGATGCTGAGAGAACCAATTCCCAGCCCAGCCCCTTCCCAGCTCTGCCACCAGCTCCTGTTCCCCAATTCCCAGCTCTGCCACCAGCTCCTGTTCCCCAATTCCCAGCTCTACCACCAGCTCCTGTTCCAGAATTCCCAGTCCATTCCCAGCTCTACCACCAGCTCCTGTTCCAGAATTCCCAGCTCTACCACCAGCTCCTGTTCCCCAATTCCCAGTCCATTCCCAGCTCTACCACCAGCTCCTGTTCCCAAATTCCCAGTCCATTCCCAGCTCTGCCACCAGCTCCTGTTCCCGAATTCCCAGCTCCCCCACCAGCTCCTGTTCCCCAATCCCAGCCCATTCCCAGCTCCCCCACAGTCGCCTATCCCAGCACTTCCCTAACAAAGCTCCTGAGTTCCCAGTCCCGGCTCCAGTTCCCACAGCTGTTCCCATCTCTGAGGCAGCAGCTGCAGCAGCACAGGCACCCGCTGCCATCCCGGGGGGGCTGCCCCCCAACTTTGGCTCCTTCCAGCATCCTGGGTGTGGACAACAGGTCCTTGGCCAGGGCAGGATCCTCTGCTGGGACTATCCCTGGCTGGGGAAGGGGGGCGGGGGGTTGTTGCCCAGTCTCTGCACCCCAGGACACACAACAGGACCCCCCCTTTTTTTTGGTAGCTGGGGGTGGGTAAGACTCTGTGTCCAGCCCAGAGCTTCTCCCAGGACACGTTTCCTGCCCCTACAAACCAGGTCTGAGGTGCTGGGTGATCTCTGGGTTAGATGGGTTAACGTACCCAACATGGGTCAGTAAAGCCAAAGCCTGCAGAGCTGGCAGTGGGGGGGGTTTGGGAGGGGGGGGGGTCTGGCAGAGCCCTCCGTGGCCCCCAGCCCCACTGGCAGGAGCTGTGCTCACTGTCACATCCCTGCTGGGGACAGGCTGCAGGTCCCACCGTGTCCCTGAGCTCCACAGTGTCCCCTCCCACACCATCTTGGTTGGGGATTCATGGGGTTAAATCCCAATTCCCACCATCCCAGAGCTTCTTGTAACCTCAGCCAGGGCTGAAACTCTGGGCCCCGCTCAGCCCTTGGGGCTTGATTTAAGCAAACCCTTCAAACCCCCCCATTTCTAACCATTCCCACCCCTCCCCACCCACAGTGACGGGCACAGGGCACAGCCTGGGCAGGGGTGAACGTGCTGACTCATGGAGGGGGGCAAGGAAACCAGCCTGAAACGTGCCCACCAGCCCTGTCTGCCCACCCAACAGCCTCACATCTGGCTGCCTGGCACCTTCACATCTGGCTGCCCATCACCCTTGTGTCTGACCACCCATCACCCTCACATCTGGACTTCCATCGTTCTCATATCTGGGCACTCATCACCCCCACATCTGGCTGCCCATCACCCTTGTGTCTGACCACACATCACCCTCACATCTGGCCACCCATCACCATCACATCTGGCCACCCATTCACACATCCCCCCCACATCTGGCTGCCCATCACCCTTGTGTCTGACCACCCATCACCCTCACATCTGGCCACCCATTACCATCACATCTGGCCACACATCACCCCCACATCTGGCTGCCCATCACCCTTGTGTCTGACCACCCACCATCCTCACATCTGGCCGCCCATCACTCTCACATCTGGCTGCCCACCACCCTTGTGTCTGGCCACCCACCACCCTCACATCTGCCTCCCTGCCCTGCTGTGCATTTTACCCACCCAAGGGGTTGGGAAGGGGGGGGGTTGCACTCCCTGCCCCACACCCGGGGGGGCGGTTTGGGGAGGGAGGATTTTCCATAGACTCCAAGCAGCTTTGAAGAACCCAACCCCCCACGAACCCCCCCCCAGAGTGAAGCAGCAAGCCCAGGGTGTCTGTGCAGAGCCACACAGGGTGTCAAGGTGAGGGATGAGGGTTATTAGACCCCCCCCAGCTGGTTCTGCTCTCTCAGCAGAAGGAAGACATTTTAAAGGGAAGGTTTCCATGTACAAACAGCACCTTGCCGTGTTTAATTCCCTCAGTAACCCCAGCCTGACCCCACAGAGCCCATCCCCGTGGTTTCCAGCCTTCCCTCCTCCCTGTTTTCCAACCCACTGACTGATGCTGGAATGAAACACATCCCCCAGGGAATGACCAAGCAGCAGCTCAGAGCCCCAGCACCTGCTTTGGCCCCAGGGCTGAACCCCTCTAGGTTCTCCAGGGGTTCCTGGGCACAGTTGGGTTATTTAGCCTGGGAATTGTTGGGCTCCGTGCTGGGAGAACCTGTGTCCTGGGATGGGAAATGGGATCAGCCCAGGCTTGGACTTGGCTGGTGGGGAGATGCTGGACACTTCCCTTGTGGCCCTGGGGACACTTCAGCCATCCCAGCACCCTGGGACAGCCCTGGCTGCTGCCACCACTGGGTGCTTCCCAAAATACCCCTGGAAGTGATTTGCAGCCAGGAACCTGGGGTTGTGCTTTCCCACAGCCCCACGGAGCCCATCAAACACCCCCCAGGTCCTGCCCAGGGTTTCTTCAGCTTTTTCACCCCCAGGGGTGGCTTTTGGCAGCTCCAGGACCTTGGCAAATCTTTTCTTTCCCTTCTTTCCCAAGTGGTTTGGGGAACTATGGGGACTCTTTGTGGGAATGTAGGATGTGGAGCTACCCTGGACCCTCCAGCCTCATCTCCTCCCCCCTCATCTCATCCCTAAACACCTTCTGGATTGTTTTGGTCAAGTGCAGAACTTCCCAGTCAAGGAACTCAATGAATGGTGGTGGTTTTGGCAGCCCAGGGAGCTCCATCAGTGGCCAGTTCCTGGAGGAGCAACCCCCTCCAGAAGGAGCCAGTTCCTCCTTCCTGGAGCAGCAGCTTCGTTTGCAGCTCTGGAGGGGTCACCACAATGGACACCCCATCCCCTGTGATGGGTTTGACCCTGAGCCTGGTCCTGGAGGGGGATGAATCCTGCCTGAAAACCCCAGCTCTGAGGGACAAATTGAGTCATCCCCATCTCAGTCATCTCCTTCAGCCCACTCACCTTGGTCATCCAAATCACCCCAGTCCCAGGCAGCTCCATCATCTGAGTCACCCCCATCACCCCAGTCACCCCCATCATCCCACTCCTCTCCATCATCCCACTCCTCCCAGTAAACCTCCATCATCCCACTCCTCTCCATCACCCCATTCACCCGCATCACCCCATTCACCCCCATCCCTACTTTGCCCTCTCCACCACAGCCCCATCCTGCCTAGGGAGGAGCTTCCAGCCCCAGCCCTCAAAGACCCCCCTGGTCCCTCCAGTCCCCCCAGTCCTCCCATTCCCCCCCAGCTGTGGCACATCTGGCAGAGAGCTGGGGAAGTGCTGACCCAGCCCAGCACGCCTGGCAGAGCACAACATGAATCACTACTCCCTCTCCCCCCCTCCTTTCCCTTTCATCAAAAAACCAGAACACAAAGAAACACGAACCCACCTGAAATGAGTTTCCAACCAACCCAGACACCCCAGGACCATCACACAAATTCCTCAGGTTCTTCTTGAACCTGGGATGAAAATTTTCCTCAGAGATCCATTCGCTGAAAAGCCTGGAAAAGAAAGAGAAGGGAAAAGGGTTTGTCAAGGGAAAGACCTTTTAATAATAATAACAATAATAATAATGATAGTGATAATAATTATAATAATGATAATAAATGTTGTTATTTAAAAGAATAAAAAAAAAAAACAAACCCAGCTCAAGTGAGATGTTTCCAGCCTTAGGGAAGAGGCTGCCATTTGCAGGCAGGGAGGAGGAGGAGGAAGAAGAGGAGGAGGAAGAGGAGGAGGGGATCTGTTGGAGCTGGGTCCTGGACCCAGCTGCTCTTTTTCTCCCCAGGAGGAATCGTTGCATCCTCCATCTCCCAGCTCTACTGACAGGGTGACCCAGGGTCTCCCCAACCCCTCCCCCCCAGCTCTCCTGACCCTGCTGAGATGGAGAAAAGGAGAAGGGCAGTACCAGGAAGGCAGGAATCTCTTTCCTAGGCCAAGCTGCTCTCCTGGGCTCCAGCCAGGGTGGTAGAGCAACAACCACCTGGGGTGGATCTGCTCAAGCCCCTCATGCAGATTCATTCCACAGATCCCATCACATGATGGGTCCTTCTCTGGTCAGACCCCCCCCTGGAGAGCTGTGTCCAGGTCTGGAGCCCCCAACTCAGGAAGGACATGGAGCTGCTGGAGAGAGTCCAGAGGAGCCACAGAGATGATCCAAGGGCTGGAGCAGCTCTGCTCTGGAGACAGGCTGGGAGAGTTGGGGTGTTCAGCCTGGAGAAGAGAAGGGCCTGGGTGTGACAAGGACCACAGACAACACCAGCCCCCACATGCCCCAGAGCAAGTGTCACCATGTGCCCCAAGCCACCTGCCAATGGCCAAAGGCTCTGGAGCTCCAGCCTGGCTAAGTGGGCAGTTCCTGTGGCCTCATCTTGGGAACAATCAATCCAGTTTCTGCAAGGAAACTCGAGGGGGAAGGCAGGTGGATAATCAAGATTTACTGGGTGGAAAATCAGATCAAGGAGGTTTGGGGAGGGAAAGGAGATTGTGCCACTGATCCAGGGAAATGGAGCAAAGTGAGTTAATCAGAGAAGTGACTTCTCCAAGAACTTGAGGTTTGCTTTGGAGAAAGGCAGTGAATGAGCATCAACCACTGGTCAGGTGAGGGATAATGGAGGGTCCGTGGTTCTGCAGGTGCTTGATAAGGTCCCATGTGTGAGTTCAACCCCCTGCTCAGGCACCAGGACTTCAACTCACAAATACTTGATTCCAACACACTCCCTGGTCCATCCAGAAAGGTGCTGAGCACGTTGGTGCTGCAGAAGGACACGTCACAAGCCTTTGTACCCTTGTCCACCAAGGGTGATGGCACCTTGGGAGCAGCAAGGGGAAACCAGGCTGTGTCTTCTACACAACACACCCCCTGTGCACACTTACTTGGGGATGGTAAGTCACCCTGGCCACCTGCAACTGCTCCTTTCTCTGCCACCCCCAGGTACACCAAGATGAAAACAGCCACCAACATCTACATCTTCAACCTGGCCCTGGCAGACGCCCTGGCCACCAGCACCCTGCCCTTCCAGAGCACCAAGTACCTGATGGAGACCTGGCCCTTTGGGGAGCTGCTCTGCAAAGTTGTCCTCTCCATTGACTACTACAACATGTTCACCAGCATCTTCACCCTGACCATGATGAGCGTGGACCGCTACGTGGCCGTGTGCCACCCGGTCAGGGCCCTGGACTTCCGCACACCAGCCAAGGCCAAGGTCATCAATGTCTGCATCTGGGTGCTCTCCTCCTTCATCGGGGTGCCCATCATGGTCATGGCAGTCACCAAGTCAAAAGGCAAGTGGCTCCTGGGGAAAAGTCCCTCTCCTGTCCCATCTGGTCATGCTTGGGGGTGGCAAAGCCAAACCCACCTGGTCCTGGAGGTGGTTGGAGCTCAGGGGTGGACACCCCTTCCATGGGACCAGGGTCTGCCATGGACAAATGGTCATGGGGTATTTTCCATCTTGGCTGCAGGGGTTGGAAAATGTCCCTGAAATTGTCTTCCCCATCTCCAGGCCAAGTGGTGCCTCTCCCCAGCTCCTGGGGTGCAGATCAGGGGTCTAAAAACACCCCCAATGATCTTGCAAAGTCCCCAGCTGGCCCATCCTAAGATCTCCTCTGTGAGGACACAAGTCCTTGGCTGCTGGGAAAGCTCTGGGCATCTTGAGGAGGTGACAGGTTTAGAATCCCAGAACCCCAGACTGGTTTGGCTTGGGAGGAACCTTAAAAACCATCCAGTCCCAACCCCCTGCATGGGCAGGGACACCTCCCACCAGCCCAGGCTGCTCCAAACCCCATCCAGCCTTGTCTTGAACACCTGTAGTGTTTCAGTGGAAGGTGATACAGGGATGTATCCACCCCTGGGGTTGGGAGGAGACAGCGACAAGATGGCCCGGGAGGTTCTGCAGGGAACAAGTCCCCGGGTCACTGCACCCCCTTGGCACCCCGAGGGCAGGGGGTTGGTGTCACAAAGCTCCTGGGGGATCTTTGCAAAGACCTGGCAGGTGGGCATCCATCTCCATGTGTTTTCAACAACCCTGGACATGCCCCCCCCAATGACCAAGGAGGCCACGTCCCCAGCAGACACCCCACCCCCCCCTCTTTGACCACCCCCCTCTCTGCCTTGGGCACCTATTACTTAAGCTTTCAAGCTGAATTTTTGTCAGTAAGGGCTCAGCAGTAAAGTTTAAATATACTCCATGGTCTGCACTGATTGATTTTATTCTGCCTTTCATTGGAGTGTCTGAAGGAGCCGTGCTAAGTGCACTATGGGCTGCAGAAGCTTCACCTTTAAGGGGCCATAGGACCGGAACCTGCGGCGCATCACGCGCATGGTGCTGGTGGTGGTGGCAGCCTTCATCATCTGCTGGGCCCCCATCCACATCTTCGTCATGGTCTGGACGCTGGTGGACATAGACAAGAAGAACCCCTACGTGGTGGCCGCTCTGCACGTCTGCATCGCCCTGGGCTACACCAACAGCAGCCTCAACCCCGTCCTTTACGCCTTCCTGGATGAGAACTTCAAGAGGTGCTTCCGAGAGTTCTGCCTCCCCTTCCGAGCCCGGGTGGGTCAGACCAGCTTCTCCAGGAGCAGGAACACCGTGAGGGAGCACGTGTCCACCTGCACCCCCTCGGAAACCCGCACCAATCCGGCCTGACTAGAGGGGGGCAGCCCCCAGGGGGGCTGCCAGGGCCATGGGGGGCACCCCCTGCCCTCAGAAGTCACCCAGGTCACCACCACGGAGCTCTAGCAGAGCTGGTGGTTGCTGGAGGACTCCGTTGGGTTTTGTCCAGACTGACCCAAGTCACCAGCAGGTGACTGCAAAGACTTTTTGGACCCTCCAGGGTGGAGGAATTGGGACTCACCCAGCAATGGGGCAGGACCGAGAGGCCACCTGGATGGGGCTGCTCTGCTGCCACCCTCCACCATGTGTGGTGACAAAGCCAAATCGTCTTGGGACACCACGAAAGCCACGACCAGGTGCTTCTCCTCCTGCAAGGTGGCACCACAGCACGAGGAGAAGCCCTCCCATGGCAGAAGAAGACCATGCTGGATGGTGATGCCACATCATGGGGCCTCACTCCACCCCCCTCTGTGTGGGAGAACCAGCTGGGAAGACAACCTTGCTTTGGAGACACTGTTGTCAAAGAGCTCCAGATCCATCATAAAAAATTTGACAGGAGTCCTTCAAAGTGGGACCAGCCCCAGGGGACATCTCTGTCCTGCTGACGTGGTGGCTGCATTATTTAGAAGCTCTGCCTGCAGCCAGGGCAGCCCGAGCCACAGATGTGACACTGACAATAGGGACACGGCCAGGGGATGGGGACACAGCAGCACACGTGTCCCCAGCTCACCCCACCTCCATGTCCCCGTGCCACGTTCCCTCAGCACCCACTGGAGACAGGGAACTGCTCCTCACCCTCCCAAGCCATGAAGCCCATGAGGGATCTCAGGCCAGGAAGGATTTGTGGGGACTGGAGGAGCTTCTCGTGGCACTAACACGATGAGGGAGGACTAAGGAGCCCCTGCCTGGGCTCTCCCAACCCTGCCCAGGAGAAGGCTGAGGAGCAGCAGTGCCCAGCCTGCCCTCAGCAACCCCAAAATGGACAGGATTTGGGGTGGGCTTTTTTTAGAAGATGGGAATTGCTATCACCATGGAGCCCAGGAACCTCTTTCCTGCACCAACCTGCTCTCCTTGTCTCCAGCCAGGGCAGGAGAGCAACAACCATCTGAGATGGAGCTACTTGGTCCCCTCTGTGCTGGGAAAGGACTCACAGAGCAGGAGAGGCTGAGATTTCATTGAATGACAGAATCCCAGACTGGGTTGGATTGGAAGGACCTTAAAGATCATCCAGTCCCACCCCCTGCATGGGCAGGGACACCTCCCACCAGCCCAGGTTGCTCCAAGCCCCATCCAACCTGCCCTTCAACACTGCCAGGGATGGGGCAGCCACAGCTTCCCTGGGCAACCTGGGCCAGGCTCTCACCACCCTCACACCCAACAATTCCCTCCTCATGTCCAACCTCAACCTCATCCAGTTCAAAGCCACCACCCCTTGTCCCCTCACCCCCTGCCCTGATAAACCCCCTGATTTGCTGGTTTCCCACTCAGCATCCCCCAGATGGAGCAGCCAACCCTCTGAAGGAGGGGCCAAGCTCCAAGGCAGGACATCTTATGGTCCAGAGAACGTCCAGACCACATCATCTGCTGCTGAACAAGAACTGACAGGTCCTCCCACCCTTCTGCTCCCCACATCCCCCCTCCAGCCCCCCCCCAGCTGTGAGCAGCATCCCAGAGCCACCACTTTTCCCTTCTTCTCACCTTCCAGCTGCTGCAGCTGCAGCCAGGAGGTCAAACAGGCTGAGGGGGAGGAGGAGGCTGGGAGGAAGCTCTAATAGCATTTTATGGACAAATTGCTGCAGCTGGAGGAAGCAGGCGGGTGCACCTGGGGTGGCTGCAGAGTCTGGGTTGTGTCTCTGGTTTTTCCAGTTGCATTAATTTAGCTTAATGAAGGTCGTTAACTCCTGCTTCCCAGCCCAACCTTCCTCAGCAGCCCGTGGAAGCTGCAGCTGCCCTGTTAGGAAGACAGAGCTGAGGAGGGAACCAAACCCAGTTTCTCTTGCAAAGGAACCAAAAGGGGTGAAATGGATCTCAAATCCAAGCACCCGAGTCCTGCTCTGCACCCTGTCCCCTCCCCCTGAGCAAAAGCCTCTGGCTCAGGGTTGTGTCAGCCTGGACATCCCTCCAGGACTCCCCAGGATCCCTTTCCAGGCAGGGATGGAGTCCTGGACCTCTGGCAGAGCCACACTTGGTCTCTTCATCCTCTGCCACCACAAACCTGGCTGTTCATGGAGTGTTGGGTGGGAGCAGGATCAGGCCCAGGGCAGGAATTGGGGGTCCCAGGGTCCCACAGGGCTGAGCTTCAGCTCCAGAAGGAGTTGCAGAACATCTTTCAGCTCCACCTCCTGGGGGCAAAGCCTTCAGTGTTCTGTGGTGGGAAAGGCTCTTGGTTTGGAGCTGGTTCATGGTGAGGTTCTGGTAGGGGTGGGATGTCCAGGGGTGGGATGTCATGGAATCATAGAATCCTTTTGGTTGGAAAAGACCTTCAAGATCATCAACTCCAACCATTAACCCAGCACTGCCAAGTCCACCACTAACCCCAGCCCCAGCAGGGGTGGGATGTCCCACCCTGTGGCCCAGGACATCTTGGAATTTCACACCAGGCTTCACCATGAAGCTGAATTCCAGGTGAATATCTCAATTTGGGGGGGTAACCCCAAAAATATGATGCCCCCAAATCATCGACCTCTTTAACCCACCTCAGCCAGTGCCTCAGTGTCCCTGAGAAACACCAACCCTGTGCCTGGGGCTGGGAAGGCACCAAGGGAAGTGACACTTCCAACCACGGGTGCTAAGACCACCCTGAAGAAATGGGGGGACACAGGGAAGGTGAACCCCATCACCCATGGTTGGGACACTTTTGTCCCTTGGAGGACACACCATCATGTTGGGGGTCACCAAGCTGGGGGGGCTGTGGGTTGTCTTGAGGCTCTGTGGGTGGTTCAGCCACCCCCCCTAAAAAGATCCATCACCCCAAATTCCCATCCCCTCAGGGCCTTAGATCCAGTTCCCACATTCCCAGCCTGCTGGGAAACACCTGCAACAGCCTTAACGTGAGTGAAAAGGCTTCCAAGAATGATTTAGGAAATGCTACCAGGTTTGGGGAGCCCAGGACACGGTGAGGAGAGGAGCTTTTCCTTGGCTTGGCTCCTGCTGAGTAGCACTAACAAATGGAATATTCCTGGGAAAATAAAAAAGGGGGGACACACTGATGGGACACACCAGAGCCCTGGTCGTGCCAGGGACCTGGAGCATCCCTCACCTCCAGCAGCTTCCCAGGGGCTGCTTCAGCTTCTCCCAACAGCACCCAACTTCAAACCAGCTCCTCCATGAGGCTGGGAATTGGGGGTTGAATCCTAATCCAGAGAAACAGCCCATGGAGCTTCAATCCACCAGCTGGGATGGTGGGGGAACACCCTCTGTACACTTAATATAAGTATCTAGATGTCTGTGTCTGTAGCTTGTGACATTAAAGTGGCCCCAGGTCACCCCATCCCACCTTGGCAGGTCCCTGCTCCTGTGGGTGACAGAGCTGAGGACCCTGCCCCAATCCAGAGGGTCCTCAGCACCAACCAGCACCTCACCAAGTGTTTCAACCAAGCTTCCCAGCTCCAGCCCTCATCCCTGTGGGCTTTGGATGGTGTTTCTGCCCAGGAACCAAGCTCTCCAGACCATGAAATCAAAACCAGGAAGGGCCAGGCAGCAGTTTCCAGTTGACTCTCCAGCACTTTGGGGGGGGGAGGGATTTTGGGATTGATGGGAAAGGAACCTTCTTGAATTTAAAGCTTTAAAAACTGGGAAAAATCCACCTTCATGAAACCCTAAATCCTTTTAGCTGAGGTTATTTTGCAAGCCCTGGAAACCAAAAGCCTCACTGGTGGCATCCCCAGTGTCCCCTCTGCTCCTGGACATCAAGTCTCCTTTTCAGAGCCCAGAAGCTCAAACTCAGGCCCAAATTATATTTGTAATTTAAATGCAAATGAGAATTTAGTGCAAATGTGAAGGGAAAAAGGTGTTGGAGCTTGTAACTCTGCTCCTGCTTTGGGAGAATCTGGATTTTAGGGTGTTTAGCACTTGGGTTTGTGAAGTGTTTGGTGAGTTCCTGTGAAGAGCAGGATGTGAAAAGCAGATTTCCAGCTGGGAGGTGGTTCCTACAGGGGGAATCACTGCTCCAAGATCCCTTCTCCAATATCCAGCACCCTTGGAAAATGGAACCAAGCACCAAATGCAGCCATTTCACAGCCCAGTGAAACCAGTAGCCTCCTGGGCTGGCACACGGGACCTGCCCCACACCCACCAGCTCCTTCCAGGGACCATCCTTGCAGAAAACAGCCTTTAAAAGAAAATAAAATGAATCCACCAAATACTGAGCTCTCCTTTATCCTTCCACGTGTGATGAATTATGGAGCTGCTGGTTCCTTTGTCTGCACCCCAGGTTCAGGCTGACTTTGTAATTGCATCATTAGCATATGGAAATGAGCCAAGCTGGGGAGGACACAAATCTCCCACCACCTGGAGCAGCCTGGGTTGGATTCAGGTTCTCAGCCCTGATGAGACACTTCTTGACTTGCAATTCATCATTTAAAAGGAGATAAAACCCACTATGAATAATTACTGGGGCTTTTTTTGCCTTTTTTTTTTTTCTTTCCTCTTTCATACTTAAATGTTCTGCTCAACTTGTGCTGATTTATTCCCTGTGGAAGAGGGACTGGGAGGAACAAGCAGAGCCTGGGGGTGGTTGGTGTCTCCTTCCCTGCCAGGCTCCCCATTCCCCAGGGATCTCCTGAGCCAGGGGACAAGTTTTCTCTATTTTTGGCCTGTTAAAGGAGACAAACCAGGATTTTAGCAGGTTTGGGAGGGGGCAGAAAGCTCCACACATCACCCTTGCAACCCATTTCCCACCCCCGGGAGACCCAACACGTTCTTCTACCAGAAGCCCATTTTGCAACACCAGTTAAGACTGGGATACACTGGCCAGGCCTTAATGACAAGACTCAGGGAGGTCAGACTGGACCAAACTCTCTCCTAGGCTCACAAGCCCCATCATTAATCAGCAGGCTGATTAATTAGTTGTCACCCAAAGAAACCACGTGGCCCTGCCAGCAGTGACTTGGCCATAACTAAAGCTCATTTCCTCCTGGAGGCAGGAAAAGGAGGCCAAGAAATCAACTCAGTCTCCCCCAAACCCTCTTGAAGTCACAGTTTTCCCTTGGCAGACCCTGCAGGAGGCAGGGTTTTTTTCATCCAAAAAAGCAATATATTAAAAACCATGGCAAAAAGCCCCTCAACCCAAACCAGCCATCACTGAAACAACACCCCAAGTGCTTTTCTTCCAGAAACAAAAGAGCCTCACACCACCAGAGCTCCTCCTCCAGGGATGCTCAAAGCCCCATATCCCACGTTCCCATCTACTGTCTGTAAGATAAAAAGCCTTTTAGATACTTGGAAGAGCAGCAGATGAGCTGGAGTGTGGGATTGGAGCCACCCACCAGGAATTCCCCCACTGGCAAGGAGAAAAGGTCCAGCTGTGCCAAGGGTGGAAAACCTGCCTTGTGCACCAGGGTTGGACTCTGGCACAGTCAAAGGTTCCCCCCCCCAAACCCTCCAAATTAGATTAGGCATGAGGAGGAAATTGTTGGGTGTGAGGGTGGGGAGAGCCTGGCCCAGGTTGCCCAGGGAAGCTGTGGCTGCCCCATCCCTGGCAGTGTTGAAGGGCAGGTTGGATGGGGCTTGGAGCAACCTGGGCTGGTGGGAGGTGTCCCTGCCCATGCAGGGGGTGGGACTGGATGATCTTTAAGGTCC